TTCTTTATTGATTCATCGAACCGTCCAGTGCATCCTTAAGATAGACATGCTCTGAACTGATCAGCTGCACAGTCCCGCGACAGACACACATTCACCAATCGACTTAAGCAGAGCTTGCTGGTTAAGTTAGAGCAAACAAACTTTACTGCTACTTCTACTCGGGAGCAGTGAGCTCAAAGCAGGAAAATGATACTTGTACAGACCCTTTTAAATCTAGCAAATCGTACCAGTCGACAAAAGGCATGCATGTTACTTCGTTCTCTTTTGTACTTCACTGAATTATAACTGAGCCAGCTGTAAATGGCCTAACGTATGTGGAAGGCCAGGTATCATAGATAACTTATCCTGTTAAAGCCGATACAGGAAGCATCCGGTCATGAACAGATAGTGGCCTTTCATCGCAACTGCTGTCCTCGATTCGGCTACGCTTTCAATCTCACAATGGTCAGCGTAGTCTTTATCTTGTGTTCACGGACAATTTACGAGACGATTAGCCATGTCGGGTTTGGTTATTTGGGAGGCCATGCTCATTTAGAGTGATGACTTCCGAAATAGCAAATTATGCTTACTTCGAGGGAAAATGGCGTTAGAGTAAGGTTTGGTACGAATGATTACGACGATATAGCGGAATATTTTTTTATTCAGTCTTTTTTTTCTTTCGCTTTTTCGTTAACTCTTTTATTCTCGATTAATGCGTGCACTATGACTTCTTTCGTGTTTTTTTCGTACGGTGGTTTATTTGCTCCGTTGCTGTAACGGTTCGGCATGCTAAAATCTATGAAATCTCTAAAAGCAATTTTTACGTCGTCGAAATTTGAATAATTTCCCTGTTGAAAATTTGCCGAGATTCTAAGAAATGGTGACTTGTGGTAGCAATATCTGGCGAATATAATGAATGATGAGAAGCACCCAATTGAAACGTTTGCCGTCTTGATAGTTACACTGTGTGGCCGCGTACTGAAGCAGGTTTATCTGTGTTGACTGCTTAACCCGAAATGTTTGCATAATTTCCATCAACTATTGAAAATACGCTTGAATCAACAAATTGGGACTCTGTAGTTTGTGATTCCGGCATTCGACCGCCGCACAGAACCTATTTAGATAAACTTTTGCCAACGCTTCGTAGCGGTGTGCCACCGATTCAGTCACCTTGTGCGCTTACCCTAGAGGATCGATATTTCATCACATATTACAATATAGTACAAGAATGGTTCGCTGTTGTTACGTAAGAGCAAGCGGAATGAAACGTCCCCATGTGTCTGTCTGTGATTCTTGCCTAAACCCGTGCGATATATGCTGCTTGTCAATTTTGCCACTTTATTAATTCAACTGAAGTGCACAGGTATAGCATTTTTGCATAGATTTTAAATGCTACGGATGCTGTGCACTTTGCAATAGATCGGCCTTCACAGAAGCTCTCAGTTCTTCACCATCCATCTTCGCAGGAATTTTTCACGAAGCGCATAACAACGTGTGCGAAATGTGTTTCTCGCTCGTTTTCTCGAACCGACAACCCGCGTTGGTTCGTGGCTCAAGCTCGGCTAAAGCACCTTCGTCAAATGTGAGATCTGTATGATTCTAGAAACCGTATGCGTAAGCCAGTCAAATGGCTTAACGCGACATGCTTTCCAAAAATCTGGGTGGCGATATCTAAGTGAGCGGCCTGAAATTTGCCAAATACATATTGAATCTAAGAAAAATGTTACGAAACGTTGCACCGTTATAAAACAGCCCCATCTTACAAGATAACTTAATGTCACCGACAATCAGTGGCATCGGAATTCCTGGACCGTTGCACAGCATCATCCGTTATTCTAGGTGGATTTGCATCTATTGTGGCAAACTACTTGCCCCTATGTACATATAGCCGAACGCCATTGGAAAAAATGAGTCAGATAAAACACTTACACGTCCTACGAGTATTTCATTCGATCATAGTGTATTTCCTGTTTGTTGTTTTAGGCCCGTTACGGTTGCCCCGTAGTCACACCTTGATCAAAGTACAATAAAGGTTTTATTTCTCTTCATGGCACTATACGACAGGGACAATTCGGTGATGACTTGCTCATCGAGGATGTTTCAGTTAGCTTCCGTATGTCGGCAGGTAGAATTTACAAGGTGCATAAATAGTACGGTGTCGTTCACCTTATCCGGCCTAACAAAACAGATGAAGTCAGTCTATAAGAGTTTCAATTGGTGTACCTTCGCGAGGCCTTTCGAACAGCCGCAGAACGACTTCCTTGTTTCTTAATTTCACCGGATTTCAATTTCTGCTATAGCTACAGTTGTATTTATTTTTTAATTAGACGTCTTTACTATTGTTTTTATGAAACAATTTTTACATAACACCAACCGTGTGGAGGAATCTGCACGAGAAGACTGCCTTGAAGGTGGCATGATGAGTTAATGACCGCTCTCTGAAAGACGAGCTACTGTAAAAAGAGTACAAATTTTAATACAGATTCGAACTCAATTGGCAGACCGAATGCTAATATGTGAGGGTTTACTTTGCACAGTAACATGACTACCTAACGTATCAACATGTGTACACATTAACACAGAAATATCTTGAACCGACCCCGATGTCATTATACCGCAGCGGAAATTCTCTGGTCTCGCCCTCCCTCCCTCCCTCTCTCTCTCTCTTTTTTTTTCAAGTTCAATGGTAATGTGGAATAGCTTCCAGATTTGATGGCAGCACATTTAGTTAAAGAATTTCGCTTGCAGATCCTTTGATCTCACTTGTCGATGGCTTACGACGGCACGTTCTTCATATCCTCAGTAAGACATATTCAAAAACTGAAACTCCAAATTGGAGTTTCGCTACTGATGGAATAGAATAGGTCCAAGACACTCGCATCAGTGTAACGTCTTCGCTTGTAGTCGCCATTGATAGATGCCAGTCACACCCCCCGATGCATTTCCTTACAGACTCTTAAACATACAAATGACTACACACTGATCCATGCGGATAATGCTGTCATTGAAGATTCAACAGCCACTTCTCTCGCGCATGAAACCTATCGACACGGTAAGCAACATTCGTCGGAAACGGCTTCACTTTTTTTCTGCTTATCGCCCTACGTACTTTAACATGTTCCAAGGTAAAAGCTATCGACTGTCGTCGGTTCGCTCAAGCGATGGCCGCTGCGAGTTTGATCACTCGCTAGACAAACGCTGCGCGGCAATGGGTCAATTCAGCGTTTCAGGCTGACTCCCGTGCTTTCGATGCCTGGAAATTTACGCCGAGTTGGACAGGTGACGGGTGCTAGAGTAACGAGCAATTTTCGCTTTGCGAAACTTAGCATCAATTAGAGAGGTAGGGAGACGTGTTCGCATACGTCGCACCCCACTCCCATGGCTCAGCTGAACTACAATGGAAGATGCAGACAATGCATTTGTCGCTATTGTGTAACGTTATAAAGCATGGATAGCTAGATAAACGAACAATATCGAGTAATACGAGGCCTAGCGATAATTGAGGACTACCCAGTTGGCTACGAGTAGTGATATAGACGTGCTAGCGTGGGCCGTCTATAAGGAAAGTCTGCCTTAGCGGCGTATAGCACGTGATGCTCTCGTGAGAGATCAGTGATGACACCGTTAAACAGCAGCCTATCGGTATGTAGGCACGGCCGCAATGCAACGGAACCACTGCTGTTCCCATACATGGCGTAGGTGAATACGCGAGACTATCATGGAAACCGTATCTAAACGCACTGGAGGAAGTTGCGCCGTGCGATCACTAAATATGAACCTATGCTGATTTTTAATCTAAATAGCCGGTGTGTAATTCCTAGGAGAGCCTTGCGGAGAATTGTGATTATGGAAAAATGATAATTTTTTTCTTTCGAAAAACTGCATCATCAAACACGAACAATACTAGTCAAAACGTTTTTTTTTTTTTTATTTTATGATTTTAGCGTACTGTTCATAGTACATACATTGGCTAGAAATTTTGTGATAACGTTATTTGTATGCTATGGTGACGGCGGGCAATTTTCGTTTAAGCCCCTCGACATGACACGTGGCGTTACGTGAAAAAGTCTGCGAGATAGTGATGCGCGTAAACGCTAACCGTCGGCCTGTCGTTGACTCCATGCTGAAGATGCAATATTTGAAACGTTCATCATCGAATAAGTCAAATTATTGCGTAATAGCGTTTATTTCAATTCGGTCCATGTAGTACTCGTTTCTGCGGGTTTACATGAGACGTGTCTATCCAAGTAAAATCTAGTCTAAGTCTAGTTTCATGATCTTGTCCCACGCGGTGCTTCCACAGTCCTATGCAGAATCAAAGAAAGATCTATGCGAAAATTGTCAACACATAAAATTATTATTATGTCACTGTTCAGTCATACACCCATATAAGATGCGTCTATGAAAGGATATATGTATATTCTCATGCACACTTCGAGAGACATAATGGCATATATAAAGCTATGTAGAGAGGTCAAATACTTTATATACGCTGTGTTGCATGATCTATTCTGGCTATCTTGTATAGGTTTAGCTAAGTACGATCTCGTCAATGAGGTCTCCTTTACGTGCCCCTTCTATTTGCATGCACTCGTGTCCTGATTCAATGTATGAATGAACGAACGATCGGTACCCATTCGTAATACAAACTTAGTAGTGATTGAATTTCCAATGCGATACTATTATCCATAGTTACGATTCCCAAGTTAAGACTAATCGGAAGTTGTTACTACACGTTCCATGCAGACCATCGACTGTCGCTAGCCGCCGAGCCAGGAGGAAACCAGTCGGTTGTATAGCCACTACCCCCTCCCCCCCCAAAAAAGAAAAAAAAAAGCTAAATCCATATATTCTTATTGATTTTATACTGCGGCGGTTTAGCTGTAAGGTTTTCATCTGTTAAAGTCGGATAGTGTCAAACGAACGCGTAAGCAAGACAAAACACGTATGTGCGCCTTACTGTGATAGTACATCACAATAAGTAATGAAAATTTACTTACTGCTGCTTTGTTTGTACTTACTCGTTTTTGGAGTCGTCAAAGGTTAGCGGTGTCATAAAACCAGGAGTGAAACATGGCGTAAGGTCACCTGCCGATTTGTCCCGCTTACGGCCGAGAAGAGGCGATCTGGACAGACGAGGGGTATGTAATATTGATGTCACGAACTTCGACATTGTTGTGCCTGAAACACTTTTTTCGCCAGCGGCAAAAAGAACACACAGGAAAAAATCCGGATTTAGTTAGTTCAGCCCAAAGGCTACGTGTGCGTGCCACGTCTCATATTAATTTCTTAGCGCGCCATTTTTTTTCTTATTACCGAAACAATATCGCCCCCATTGAATGTACGAATGGGGACAGTTGAGTTTCACGAAATTGACTTGGCACGCTTGCAGCGTGCGCCTATCATTTGCGTTCTGAAATTGCTTCAAGATCAAGAGGTAATGGAAGGTTATCTATACAAATGGGAAATTTTATAGACGAACGAAATCTAAAATTGCCTTTCGATTCGCTGTAAGTCCCTTCACACCTATAGCCCTCGTTAGCAATCGTAGTAAGCATATCTAGCAGCCAAATGGAAATAGCGATTCATTGTGAGCGTAATAAGTGTGCGGTGGAAAAATACGACCACTCGAACTCGTCAAGGCTATAACAATTAAAAATGTCGATGTTCACACAGAGTTTTAGAGGCGCTAACAACGAATTTAGCGGCTAGCGGCGGCACGGGCCCGCTCCAGCACACAAAACTCGAATATATGAAAAGTCTCTTGGACGGCCCAGCGTGATGATGTTTTAGCCTTAAAAAATTTTAGAAAGCAATAAGGGCTTGAAAAAGCTATGTTTGTAATAATTTGGCGTTCGTTCCCGTTTGCTCGTCTGACAGGCACTGGAATGGGTATGACACAAAGCTTCGAAGTACATTACGATATAGTTTGACGGGGTGATTTCTTACAAGAATTAATATATTTACTGTATAGTAAAGTGACCTTGACGTTTACGCATCCGATAGTTTTTGTTCAATTTTTGAGTAACGATGCGTTTCTGTTACTAAATTTTGCCGAGAAAGCCTGAGACGTCCCTATGCTACAAAAGCAAATTAACATGCGGGCAATAGAAGCCTCATTATCAAAGGATTACTTACTAAAACTCGTTTCACTTCAATGAAGTTGACCATAGTTTGATTTCAGCTAAAACTTAATCTTCAATAGTTCATCATCATCATAAGAAAGCCGTCCTAGTGAATCTTTCCTACATAAAAAAAAAACCTAATCTGGCCACCGTCCTAACCTAATCTTTCTATCAGATAATCCAAGAAAGCACAATAAAGATTGATTTGAAACGGCGCTCTTGCACCCATGTAATTGGACCCAGGTTTTTAAGTTTTTATTTTAAGTGTTATAGGCATTAGGATAAGTTGAACAAATATTGCAAGTAGCTGTTCTACGTGCTTCGGTCGGTGGATAGTAGGTAAGTCAATTTTCGAAACCTAATGATCATGCATGTTCCTATTATGTATTCTTAAAGATGTAAATTTTATTTATACACATCAAATTTTATTTCACCATACTAATTTATAGCACGGTATGACTAAGCGTTAAATTCAGAGCAAGCTATTCTAATGTAATATGTTAACAATCGTTCAGGAAAGCTTGTTTTTTTTTTTTTTTTTTTAAATAGAGCTTAACGCAAAACAGAGGCAATAGAATGCGAAAGCAGATGAGACGGTAACATTCGAAATAATAAAATAATGTCGTTGTCTACAGACCGATATATCTTTGTTTGTGGAGTTCTTTGTTTAGAGTCGTCGACACCTCGAGCCATACTGTTTTCTCAAATACAATAGATCGATCGACAATATACTCTTTAATACACTTTCACAACACTTGTCGATCCGACCACAACTTTTCGCATGCATGCGTAGATACCTTGAGGGATACACACTTATTGAATTGTTCTCACCTATCGTAAATGTTAACGGTTTCGATCGATTGAATCCGTCACCTGACGATGAATTCAGGACAACACAGTAAGGGCTAGATAAGAATTGGACAGTACAATTCTGGGTTATATATGACAATAGCAGCGTCGTATATAGATCTTCCTCTGACTCCGTTGATTTTAGAAATCTAGCACATTATAGGCCATTACAAATCAATGTGACCAATAATCATCATGCAGCAACAACATCAATAGCGATGTTAAACGACCGCGGCTCATATTCAAACCGGCTACGACACTTCGGACGATAAGGTGCATCAATACAGGTGTTTACTTATGCTGGCGTGTCTTTGCGACGAGCGCGCCAGGTCGTAAGTACGCGCCTTGGATCGAATCAAACTATTGCCCTCAGTCCACTAAACAGGGCATTTTTTCGGGAAGCCACCGCCACGTTACTGTCGAAGCTTCTTACAAGGTCTCGTATTGAAAAAACAGCACAGAAAGAAACGACTGAGCGTTAGCTGCTAGTTCGCTAGACGCTTTGACTTCGCGCCACCATGTATGGCTACTGTGTTACCAGAACGCTACGTAGTAGCCCTGTGTCTCTCGTCGCATTCATCTGCGATCAGGTGACGGGCGTTTCTTCTTGCACGTCACCACCGAAATGTGATGGTCGGGACTGCAGCCGTTGCTGACGTCCGTTAATTGTAGCACACTGATCCGTCCTCTTGACGTCGTTCAGCCGTCTCAGTGGTTGAATCGTCTGATAGTGGCGCTTTTGCTGTTGATACTCTACTACTGCAGGCTGGCTGTTCAAATTAAACCCAGTTGCGCTTATTTTTGCCATTGGGTGTTACCTGGCATAACGTAATTTTGTCACCAGAGCTTACCTACTCATCGCAGAAGTGATCCAAAAACTGCTTGTACACGATTCAGCTGCACTGATAGCCCGACAAGTTTTCACACGCCACATAGACTAACACATTTACACATATTCATATATTAGAAGTGCAGCCGGATAAAGCAGCACTTCCTACCGAAAGCCAACACTGTAAAATGATGGAATACGGTCTGACCGACTTGAAGAGCCCATAACAACGTGTTCACGAGACATTACCTGCTGTTGTTACATCGGTATGGACGCACTGATTTCCTTGATACTTGACAGCGGAATATGATCCAAACAACAGAGCAGAAAAGTCAAACTTGTATATTCTCAGAAGGACGCAGTGTTCCCCAGGGTGCTTCGCTCTCGACACCCAAAGGATGTCGACCGATTAACAGAATAAGAAGTTGTTGAAAATCACTAACCGAATTTGCTACGCAACGTTAAGCCATCCCAGGTACTACACAACGGAAATACCTTTGAAATACTGCGTTACTCTTTTTAAAATGAAGCGAGCAAAAAAAGAAGGTAAATTTCACATTTATTGAGAGAGATTGGGTGTCATCAATGGCAACAAAAATCTATCCAATAGGGCGTTGCCATCGACGAATATCGAACGGATTTCCCTTGATGGTTGGGCAAGACGAGGCGAAAGTTGCCACAATAATCGTGATGACGCAGGCTCAAACGGAGACTCATCCGGCTCATAGCGGCCAAACGCGCGGAAGCTTGTCTCGGAAGATCTGCTGAGATCTCCGCCACTGATCTACTAGACGACAACGAAAATTCTTCTTGTAGAACGATTACAGCGCCGTACGCATTATCCGTTCTGCTAGTATTGCTATGACCGTTATTCGCATTGCTTCGGCCGTTTTTGGCCAAACTATCTGACGGAAAATGAAATCCTCCTCAGGTCATTATCGTTTTGAATGATGGGGAGAGAGCGAAGAGTTACTACGTGCACTAACAGCCAACTGGCGCAAGCCAGCCAGCAAGAACCGTCTGAGCCAAGATCTATTCGTTCCAGCAAGTCATTATATCTTCATTTCGCAAAATGTCTAGCGATAACCGTTATAACAACAACAATAATAACAACAGCAGCAGCAGCAGCAGCAGCAGTCAATGCCATCAGCATCACCATTAGCAGTACCAGAATCGTTATGAAGCGGCGATAAGTCCAAATACCGTTTTTCCTCCTCGCCCATTTTGGTGAAAACGATTTCAAAAAACACCGGAAAACATTAATGATAATTACAGCAATATGAATAATAATAGCAACAACTATCTAAGTAGCAATCTTGTTGCGGGAGAAAGATAAGGAGAGATAGGGAGAGATAACTATAGTACAATAATAGCTTTTTTTTTTTTTTTTTTTTTTTTTTGTAATTGCCGGTTTAATTTGAGCAAATGCATTTTCGTGACACATACCATACATGCTTTAGGCTATACGTATAGCTAACACGTGTCACGTACAAATCACGCTCAACTATAGCATTATATATCGATGGTTCCACTTCAACATGCAGATTTTTAGAAAATCGGAGAATTTGAATTAGGATTTTTCACTTACCCACTCTTGCAATTTTTAGAGCTCTACTACTCCTAAGCGTTGGCATCACGACATCCGTAATATGGATTTATTGAAGCTATTATATATATAAGATTTCGTTACTGGCTAACTTCTTACTTATAGGCTTCTCTTCGTTAAGAGGGTTTTACTGCTACAGAGTCGTGCGTAACGCACTCCGGGCAACTCTAAACGACATCATGTACTTCTGTCATGCGCCTTTATAGGTGAACAGTCTATTTTCTATAACAATTTCAAAGACATTCGATTTTTTTCCTAACGTTAAGTTTCCTCTCAATGTTTTGCGTATGCTATGCATTACTAAAGGGCTATTAACAAACTCGCTTAATTGTTCTTTTTCTTTTTCTCTCGCTGTCTCCATATGATAAAACAAGCCACGAAAAATAGGTCGAAAGTTCTCAAGAAAATATTGGTTTTAGCTTTTCTTGCTGCTTTGTATGATATTTGGTAACGGGCTAGCGTTTTGTGTGTTGGCATCGAACGATATCAAGACACGTTCCCGCCCACGGCTTTTCCGGCGGATTGATGTTTGCCTCCGCTGAACGTCCACCACCGTTATTATTACTGTCGTAAGAATTATTCTACTTTTGTCATTAACCAGTTACCAGGTGCCACGAGGAGGCATACGTTGACCCTCTAGAGCGAATCTGCGATCGTCAGGATCAAGCGCATCCGTGCAGACATATCGTGCGCATATAACGTTGGCCTATCTGAATGACTGCTTTAGGTCCATCTATATTATACATAATCAACGTGTTTCCAGCATTTGAATGGCATAAAACAGCTGGTTGGAGATTTCTGCTGCCATTATTGTTTGTCTTTGGCAAACCTAACCGTACGCCACGGTGCCGCTGTCGCAAGACCAACGATTGCCGTCTTAGCAATTGTTCTGCGAAAGGACGCCGCAGCTTGAGACACTGAAGGCACTAATTTGGACCTTATGTATCAATTACAATATACTTCTGATATATTTCTTATTCGATTGTGTCTAATACAGACATGTACTTGTGTGTGCGGCAGTGGAGCCGATGTCGGCTAAACATAAACGATCCACGCATACTCAACTAGTACGTCACCTTTATGCTCAGAGATTCTGAGTAGCTGGGTGTTTTTCTGTGTCAGTGTGACGGAAATTCTTGTCCCTCTTGCAACTTGAGTTCGGCCAGGGCCGTCGATACTTGGTTCCCGCCGGAATGTCAGAGAGTATTGGTTATCGCCGCAGAGACAGCGAGAGAAGTACACATAACAATATGACACAGGTGCAGTTAGAATTAGAGTACACGTAACACAGTACGAACGTGATTCATTCAATGAGCTGTTAGCATACAAGTACAGGGTAACATCGCGGTCGGGTAGGTAATCCAAATGAGGTTCGTATTTAATTTGCGCACTCTCAAGGCGTGAAGGCTAATCCAGGGCATTCATCGCAGCAGAACAGCGTAGAACTTGCGACCATTTAAACGATAATCAGGTTTATCGATTGGATGATCGTTCTTTTAAGACTGTCGACCTGTGGTCAGCCGCCTGCTTTCGCTGCGGTCGCGGAGCAGGTACTGATCGTATAGGTCTTCTTATACGCACTGGCCGATTGTTGACTCCACGATTCGTAGAAACGATTCTATGGAGATTACGGCCAGATGGTCAGGCGTTTTGCTATCTTGTGTAACAAGCTAAACCATGTAGCACAACTTGGCCGGCTACATGGGACAGTCACATGTGGCCATGTGGCTAAGGCGTAGCAGCTTATTGCGAAAGTATACCTATTATGTGAGCTCGAATCGTAGCGAATATTTCGGCGAGAGAAAGGTATTTATAAATTGAATGAGCTGCCACTTCTGTAGTGGCACAGCTGGTCAAGGCCTATAGATACATCATACCGTTCTAACAGACCACACTTCCACATAAAGTAACTACGCCGTAAGAAAAGAAATCGATAAAAAGAAATCCTGTAAAATGCAACGTGTATCAGAAGTTGTGAAGAAGAGCAGATTTAGGTGCAAAACTCCTAATCAAGTCCAAATAGGACGGCAGCAATTTACCGACAACCGATTCAATTATCGTGCGTATAGATAAACTGGAACCGGAACTCGACTGTGAACGAGGCGTAAAATCTGTGTCGGAATACCAAAATATGAAATGACTAAAAATTAAAGCAATTAAAATTCCCTGTCAAGTCGGAAAAAAAGTGATCTTCGTCAGAGAGAACACACAGTAACCAATTAGCGAGTAATTAGTGGTGACAATTGAAGGAAATATTTGCCCCTTGTATTGATCTGAACTCTAGTTTTTAATAACTAAAGTATCTTGAGTTGGACAATATATTGCGACAATTTTTATATTGTCTACGCAATACCTTTATTCGATGGTCTTACCACCATCATATAAGTAAGCATAAAAAGAACTAAAAACTACTACACTTATTTTAAAAATTGACATTCTGAATTTTTCAGAATTTTATACTGCAAAAAATAATTGTACTGTCCTTTAGGTGAACTGATCACGTCATATATTTTAAATGTTTATATATATATACGTATATATATATATATATATATATTCGTATTAGAATATTTTGTATAATCTCAAGCTTGGCTCCAGTTTAAATAATTCACAAGTAGATACTAGCACAATAACTAGCCTTTGGTTTTTATTAACTCCGTTTGCCATTTCTGTCTTCCAGTAATAAACCTTGAAGATAGAAGTGTTCCGTATGAACATTTGAAATATGTCTTACACCTTTTGCATAATTAGATATAAAACATCATACCTTTGGAGTCCGTACGCAAACGCTGATTATCAATGGTTTTTTTCAAATAACAAACAGAAACGAAACTTAGCGTTGTAAATATCACAGAACGTGAAAAACCCCTGTATTCGTATAAGCCGCCTACCTGAACTATTGAGTGCACCGATGGACACGTTGACTATAAAACACAATAGCACAGATTGCACGTTAGACTACTACTCCTTTACCCCATCGACTGGGCTTCATGGTTTACAATCTCTAAAATGTATCTGATGGGCGATTTTTTATTAGAAACTTATGGTTTTCACATAGTGAAGACACTGAAATATTGAATCTTTCGATCATTCTAGGCCACCGCGACACTGCATGTCTCAGTTCTCCCTAATGGGTAACAACATCATTTATGGCTTTCCATCAACGTCAGCGATTGTGGCTATAGTAATTAACCATATTTTATTATATAGTCGGCATATTATTCCACTCTAATAATGTAATATTAAGATAGAATTTGTTTTAATGCTTATGGTGGATGGATCATTTTCGTCAGGCGACGGAAACAGGGTCTGACACAAATAACTTTCTAATTTAATGCCCTTTTCGATCTCCTGAAACAGTTCAATTCAATAATTAAAACATAGATATCCACCTAATTAAATTTCTGGACATTAATGCTAATCGGTAAAGGTGTAATACAAAATCAGAACGTCTACTGCAGTACGACCCGAGCGAACAAATACCATTTCACTTATTTCAACACCAAAGTAACGTTATCAAGCGTTAAAGCCGAGACATTTTCCAGTTCGTTTTTGATCCAGCGTCACGAAGTTGGCCAGGCGTTTTGTCCTGACTATTAAACACAACATACAGAATGAAAAAAGATTTAGCATAGTACATTTTTGTAACTAGTGGAAAGTTTTTTTTTCAACGGCGTGATTCTGTCTAATTACAGTTATCGTGTTATGAAAAAGTGGAGGAGATAAAGCAGCTGACATCTTATACAATTTATAGGGCCGGTTCATTATCGGCCAAACAAGTTATTATAGAATAACCGTAATTTATCGTACTGTTATTATTGAAATAGTGCTGTTCCCTTGATAGTTAGCCGTCCCTTTAGCTCTATACGGTTTGCGCATTCTCGTCTAGCTGAACGTCGCAGATATCGTGGCTATTTTTAAAGAGTATTTTACAAGATGTTACATTATTACACATCTTCGATACTGTTCACTTCTGTGACGGGAATGTGTTTAAGATTCGAGCTGTAGTTTGTGCTGTTACATTCACAAAGTTCCTAACTCAGAAATTTAGATAACGGAGCCTGTCAAAACATTCGAGCGATTCGAAGGTTCCGAGTTCACTAACCCGGAAAATTCGGCATTCCAGAAGGGCAGACAACGATTTTGACAGTCACTCGTTCTGATTCGAAATTGATTAAACGTAAATTCGGGCGCTGCAAGCACAACCAAATATATACATTAAGACAAATAGTGGCTTACTACGTTTTTGAGTTACCAGTAACCCCGCTTCGATCCACCTCTATTAAATGCACTTTAACGACCACGGGTATCCATTGAAGCTTTACAGCCTAACTACTAACGCAGCGGGCAATGAGCCTGCCTATCCATATCTTTCCATGCATCCTGGTTAATCGCATGCGCCAAGATGCCATCCAATTTCGACTAGAATATTCAGAAAAAGGTCCACAATCGACAGTATCCGTGTTCAGGCTCATTATCCACCTAGATTTTGGTGCGTTGAAGCTCGGCCATCCCTTCGACAGCCAACCCTTGCCTTCGCTTCGTCCAACGGCTGGCACCATTTGTTTTCGCAATATATCTATATCCTTGTAAGTGACTTAGCATTAGTTATAAAGTTGTTAATCGGTGGTAGAATGTTCAAATAATCGTGACTGCGTCAAGGGATGCTGTCTCTTTATAGTGATAACAACATTGTTACGTCTAGTTGCTGAGTATGAAAGAACGAGATCTAACTTCTTATAGATACAAACGAGCCTCCTTAGTTTCTGAA